TATGTCTCATATATATATATATATATATATATATATATTGTTTATTTTGATCTAAATACAAACAAAATTATTTGTAATTATTTGTAAATTTATTGCTTCACTTATATAAAAGATTTTATTATTGCAATTTTATAATTGATAAACCATAACATTTCATTATTCTGATTAAATTTTGAAAAAAAATTAAATGAATAAAAGAGAATAATAATTTTAAATTTTGAAAAATTATTCAAGATTCAGAAAAAAAGAAAGAATTCTATATAAGATCATTATTTAAATTTTTGTCGCACAGTGTCCCGGAAGATTATAAAAAAAATCCAGGAGCAGTCGAAGCCATAGCCGAGCAGCCAGGGCATCCAGATAATATTCTAATCGGTTACAATAGAGGTTTGATGGTATTGTGGAACAAAGCTACTCCGGGAGCTCAACAGGTAAGCTTTATATTCGTTTGTACATCTCTACATATACACAATTACAATTTGGCAAATGCAATAGTTACATGTCATGACGCTTACATGCTTTTCTTGAAACAACATAGTGTGGGTCAATGTTTAATCCTGCCAGCCCATTTATTTCTGATAGACATTTGATTCGAGTTTAAATAAATTGTGATGGTACATTTTTCTATGTAGTTGCTATTAAATAAATCTCTTTATATCATTTTATGAATTTTAAAAATGAAAAATTGATGGATTTATGAAATCAAAACGTTAGATTGTACATTTTTTAATTTATTTTAATTTCTTATAGATACATCTTTAATACATATTTCTTTTTTTACTCTGGAAAATTTTATTTTAAAGAGTGGATTGAGAATATAATTAGTCTTAATCTTAATTAACTTTAGTCTCTCTATCAAAAAACTATGAAGTTTTAAAAAATGATAAATTGATAATTGATTAAAATGGAATTGAATGGAACAGCAGGGTTAAGAACGAATTGTGAGATGGTATCGCTTGTTCTGATTGTCGTTTGTGTCTTTGGTGGTCTTTGGTGGAACGTGTACGCGCAGCTGATGGGTTTGTTTTCGCGTGCGCAGACATTCGTCTCCACGCAACAGTTGGAATCGGTCCACTGGATCTCCGAGAATCGCTTCGTTTCGTCGCACAATGACGGTTCCTATGCGTTTTGGAGTCCGGGTAACGATGCTGTGCCAGATCCCACAACACTTTATGGACCATTCCCATGCAAGGCCGTCACTAAGATCCTCGTATATCCTACCGCGGAGTAAGTCACTTCGTGATTGTACAATATATCTCTTTCTCGTTTTTTCGCGAACTCAATTTGAGTCTGACTCTTTTTACAGACACGGCGAACTTGTACTGTTCTCCGGTGGTATGCAACGTGCCAGTTACGGAGATCGACACACGATTACTGTCATGACCAAGGAGAAACATTTAGTTTTCGATTTTACATCTAAAATCATCGATTTCTTCACCGTCTTCCCTAAGGAAGACGAAGAGAACAATGAGAGCCCTATCAGTCCGGAAGCACTTATAGTGCTGGCTGAAGAAGAATTAGTAGCTATCGATTTAACTAATCCCGATTGGAAGATGATGGCTCTGCCTTATCTAGTATCCCTTCATGCGAGCGCGGTGAGTATTCTGAGATAAAAACAACAAACTACATTGCAGTGAATATTGATTCTTTATATATATATCTCTTGCAGGTAACTTGTTCTCAACATGTGCCTAATGTCCCCGAGGAACTTTGGGAGGCGATCGTAGCGGCCGGTAAAGCACAAACCGAACATCTTTATTCAGATAAGCCGTGGCCCATCGACGGCGGCAATATCCTCTGTCAGAAACCAGCGAATCCTGACAAACCTAAACACAGAGAACTACTACTCACTGGACACGAGGACGGCACTGTCAGATTCTGGAATGCGTCCGACGTTGCTCTGACGCCTCTATACAAGTACAACTCATCGATTCTGTTTACTGGTGAACACTTAGATGTCCTCGAACAGCCGCCAGAGGATGATGATGATGAATGGCCGCCGTTTAAAAAAGTGGGAATCTTTGATCCATATTCCGATGATCCGCGACTCGCCGTTAAGAAGGTTCTTCTTTGCCCGTTGTCTTCGACGTTGGTAATCGCCGGCACAGCTGGACACGTTATCACTGCAACGATCTCCTCAGAACCAAGCAATAAGGAGATAAAGGCTGTAACAATGAATATTGTTAACGATCGTGACGGGTTTGTGTGGAAGGGTCACGATCATTTGCCACCGAGAACGACGAGTATATCGTTCGCAGTCGGATTTCAATCGCAAAGTCTGTTGCAATTATATCCGCCGGCTGCCATTACGGCTTTAGCATTGCATAGCGAATGGGGATTACTTGCCGCTGGCACAGCGCACGGACTCGCAGTCTTTGATTACACCAGATCGAAGGCCGTCAGTGTCAAATGCACGCTTAATCCAAACGGTATGTAATGTTGCAGTAAAACGAAATAATTACTTCTTCAATAGCCAATGCACTTTAGATGTTGATAGAATATTTTGCAAATTTCATTTTAAAATATAGTTTTTTTCATATAATTTTGTAAAGTTAAAAATAAAATCTGAAGAATAAAAGATTCAAATATTTATAGATTATCTAATATATTTCTTATATTTCTGTTTAAAATTGTTTTTATATCAATATTATAAATACGGCTATTTTATATTTTACCTGAGTCGGAGA